ACTACCAGTGCAGTGCGCCACAGAGACAAAGCACCATTACAGCCACTTCCCATTGTTTCAACCCCCTTCCGCCGCATAGCTATGGATATAGTAGGGCCACTTGAAAGAAGTAGTGCCGGACATCGCTACATCCTAGTCGTTTGCGACTACGCCACTCGTTACCCCGAAGCTTTCCCACTCCGCACAGTGACCACATCAAAAGTTGTTCAAGCTCTAACTGAACTGTTTTCTAGGGTTGGAATCCCGGATGAGATCATCACAGACCAGGGAACAAACTTTATGTCACGGGTAATGACACAGTTTCACCAGCAGCTAGGCATCAAAGCTCTGAAAACAACACCTTACCACCCTCAGACTGATGGATTGGTTGAACGTTTCAATGGGACCTTAAAGAGTATGCTGAGGAAGTTCGTTTCAGACACAGGTAAAGACTGGAACAAGTGGTTACCATTCCTACTGTTTGCTTACAGAGAAGTGCCACAGGCATCCACCGGATTTGCACCATTTGAGCTGCTGTATGGCTGGCCAGTCCAGGGACCTTTGGACATCCTTAAAAAGGCGTGGACGAAATCTCCAACAGTGGCAGAGGACAGCAGCATTGTGAAGTTCATCTTGGAGATGAGAGACAAACTGGATACCTACAGGGAGCAGGCGATGGAGAACCTAAAAGAGGCACAGACAAAACAGAAGAGATGGTATGATATGAAGAGCAGACTACGGCAGTTCCAACCTGGACAGAAGGTACTGTTATTACTACCTACATCAACGAACAAACTTTTAGCAAAATGGCAGGGGCCATACGAAATCACCAGGAAGATGGGTCCAGTGACATATGAAATACTCCAACCTGAGAGAAAGAAGACTCGACAAATTTACCACGTGAACCTGCTAAAGGAGTGGAAAGAGAGAAAGGAACCAGAGAAGACATTGATGGTGAGAGAAGTCAAGGAGGAGGATGAAGAACCTGCTGAAGAAATGGTTACTCCAAGAGAAGCTGCAGAACTGAAGCTGAATCATCTGGAGGAAAACAAGAAAAAGGAGTTACAAGAGCTACTAAGCAAGTACCCTTTGCTGTTCCAGGAGAGACCAGGCAGGACAGAGGTAACTCAACATACCATCCACTTAACAGACCCTACACCATCAAGGCAAAGACCATACCGTATACCAGAGAAACTGTTAAAGCCACTGAAGGAAGAAATCGAGACAATGAAACAACTTGGGGTGATAGAACCATCATCATCAGAGTGGAGCAGTCCTATTGTGATTGTGCCAAAGAAAGATGGATCACTGAGGATCTGTGTGGACTTCAGGAAATTAAATTCACAGTCGAAGTTTGATGCTTACCCGATGCCTAGAATAGATGACTTACTGGAGAGAATAGGGCAGGCCCGCTTCATAACCACACTGGATTTGTGTAAAGGTTATTGGCAGGTGCCCCTCCATCACTCATCTAAAGCCCTGACTGCCTTCAGAACACCTGTTGGGCTATACCAGTTCACGGTACTTCCCTTTGGATTACATGGGGCACCTGCTACCTTCCAACGCCTGATGGACCAAGTTCTCCAGGGTTGTGAGGAATACGCAGCTGCTTACCTAGACGACGTAGTGATCTACAGTCACACGTGGGAGGATCATTTAAAGCACTTAAGACAGACCCTGGAGAAGATACAAGCAGCGGGCCTGTCCTTAAATGTGGTGAAATGTGAATGGGGACGAGGTGAGACTAATTATCTGGGCTATATACTGGGCAATGGTGGACTCAGGCCACAGGTAGATAAAGTCGAAGCGATCAAGAAGAGCCAACGACCTAGGACCAAGAAAGAGGTTCGATCCTTTCTAGGACTACTGGGCTGGTATCGTCGCTTCATCCCTGATTTCGCAGCAATTGCAGCACCTTTGACTGATTTACTCCAGAAAGGTACAAAGAACCCAGTCATTTGGACTGAAGCCTGTGAGCAGGCCTGGACAGTATTGAGAGAGAGACTGTGTGCACAACCTGTGCTGAAGAGTCCGGATTTCTCTCAAAGATTCCTTGTACAAGTAGACGCATCGGAGAGAGGGATAGGTGCAGTACTGGCCCAAGGACCAGCTGGACGAGAGCGACCTGTGGTATTCCTGAGTAGGAAGCTGTTGCCCAGGGAAACGCGTTACTCTACAGTGGAGAAGGAGTGTCTGGCGATAAAGTGGTCCCTAGAATCCCTGAAATACTACCTCCTGTGGCGGGAGTTTGACTTACAGACAGACCATCGGGCACTGACGTGGATCAACTCAATGAAAGACCACAATGCTCGAGTAACTCGGTGGTACCTATCTCTGCAGCCCTTTCAATTTAAGATCAGTCATTGCCCTGGGAGGAGTAATCTTGTAGCCGACTACCTGTCAAGGTTCCCAGACAGTGCGCGGCATGGAGAGGGGGAGGATACTGTGAAGTAGCCGGGCTGCTTCCCTTTATCTCTAGCGACCGCACTGGTTCACACACACCCACAGACGCTCACAGACACGCACACACATACGCACATACATATGTCTACTCACCTCTCCTTTTCCCCTCAGTATGCTGCTAGTGACAAAGGGCCCTGTCATCTCGCACGCATCCAGTCATCCATTCCATATCTCCATTTTCCCACAGGTTAACATTAAGCATACATTTACACACACCTTTGTGTTCGTGTCTTTGTGTTTTTGTTTCGTCATTTGTCCGGGAAAGTTGGTCTTCAGTGTTGTGCCGGCCAAACCGAGCGAGCGAATGGCGCCGGCTTATGACGTCACCGGCCGCGCCATGGCAGCACCAATCACAGGAGCGCCAACCGTACCAATTGTTTGTGTTTGTAGGGTACAGCCAGCGTTGTAGAGGAGCGATATATGTCTTTAAACCTCTGATTGTTGGTTGTTTTATGTATGTATGTATGTCAGATATTATTAGTAGCTGTGTGCTTTTTATATTTAGAGATGCCACATTTAAATGTTTAATGGTGTGATGTAGAAGTTTACCTGAATTACCTGTTTATGGTATGCTCCAAAAAGGGGGCGGAGTCTAGCCTTTAAAAGGAGACGGCAGACTCAGAAACGGGGTCAGTTCACCTGGCTAGCGAGCGTGTTGTGGCAGAACCGTAAGCAATCCCATTTATCAATCTATTGTCTGTGTGACATAGATTTCTCTCATATATATTGTAGATATATTGTTTTGTGTTGTATATATCGTATTTTGTTTTTTTTGTTTTATTGAGTTGTTACTTTGTTTTTTTTTTTGTGTACATACCTTTTGGGAAATAGGTCACTGTACATTTATCTGCACTGGACTGTTTTGCGTTATCCTTGTAAATAAACCATCTTTTTTACACTTCTGGGATAAGGCCATCATTTTTGAGAACTCTTTATTTTTATTTATTTTTTGCTGGTGTTGGGCATCCCACACCTGGTAGTGAACCCATTCCGGGTCCATTACATAATTACTCACGGCGGCACGGGAACCATTCTGACACGCACCACTCTGTAGTGCGCACTATCACCGCTCGAAGCTCACAGGGTGCCACAGCAGGTGGCAGTAGTGAGTTTGTGGGTCGCGGGCCGTCGCACTCTGTTACTTGGATTGTTTTGTTTTCGCTCTGATCTTCACATTGACATTTGTATTTTTCTTTATTAGATTCAGCAGATGGATCTCCTGTTTCTTTATTTTAAACTCACTGTTACAAATAGGACATTATACTTCCAGAGTTTTTCAGATGCATTTTTTAAAGTCACAAACAGTAAGGGAACATTTATTAGTCAGATATCTGTCCTTATCAGGACAATGTATGAATACAGTCTAAACAATTCCAAGTCAGAAGATTTATATGACACGATTTTAGTGTTTTCTGGACATTTTAATGGAAATAATCTTATGCATTGTGCCTTTAAAGGGCACCTATTTTACCTCTTTTTCAAAAACTTTTGTGCCTCCAGAATGTGTCGGTAAAGTTTCAGCACAAAACACCCATCAGATTATTTATTAGATCTTTCAGAATATTAGAATTTTCAGCTGTGAACACACTGTAGCTATATCTGTGGCCTGTGCCTTTAATGCAAATGAGTTAGTTCTCCCCGCCCACCATTCCCACGTGCCTGTCAGAGTGTGCCTCAGTCTCCGCATCGGCTGCATCAGATAAACAGCACACAGACAGACATGAAGGAAGCAGATTTTACGTAATGTTTGTGAGAAACACAACAGCAAGAACTTTCCCAATGATTATTTATTTCATTTGGGTTTGAGTTAATTCAAGCCTTTCTGCTACGATGAGTCACACACATTGCTGTTACAAAGTTCACCTACACACAGTGCATTTAACTTTGTACTGTTTTTTGTCCTGTAAATGTGACAGGATACAGTTTAATATCCGCTGCTATATGGATATATTTTATGTTAATGTACAAAAAAAAATAATTAACATCCACAAACCTGTATTGAAGCATCTTCTTTTATAATTGTACTGACATGCGGCTGTGGTGAAGTAAATAGAGTTATTTTACCGTCTTTAACTTACTTTATTACTAAAATGCACTGTTTTAGAAATGTTTTAAACCTGTAAAACTCATTCTGGATCACATGTGATGAAGATTGATGATCACAGAGAGCTGAACAGATCCTTTAATCCCAGTTGCTTTGTCTTGTTGATATGATTATATGCGTTACTAAGGAGACATGTTAATACACGGCTGTCGATCAATTTGGTCGGCAGGGAAACCGCACTCCTACATCACGTTGTGGTGGGCCTCAAAATAGGAGGGATTTGGATCCTAGTTTAACATCAGGAATAATGACAAGGACACACTATACCCACACACAGTTCTGTTCAAACTAAAGATAAGTTTCATCATAAGTGCCCATTAAAGTTTTGTTAAAGTAAAATAAAAATGTCCTGATGAATACTGGAATACAGTCCATGTGAGATCAATAATGTAGAACACTAAATACCTTTCAGCAGATGATGGTGTTTTCTCTCTGAGGTCTGGTGGTTTACCTATTGACCCGTCACTCTTCAGATACACAGAGCTGGACACACATGATCCTGATCTCACACTGAACACACAAACACAGCAAAGGAAAAGGAGCGTCACAACCTCAAGGTGTTTTACAAGGTAGAAGATAACTCTTTTGTGAGTAAAGTTTAAGATCAAAATAGTGATCAAATCATTAATTAGACAGTTGTGAGGTATTATGATATGTTGAAAGAGGAAGGCAGGGTCAGCAATGCAGGTGAGTGCAAACATTTTATTTCTTTTTCTTTTTTTCAGCTCAAGCAGCACACACACCTGTTAGAACTGCTCTGACCATTGTACAGTATCTGGCTCTCCCTTTTTAGTAAGTTTAGTTAACATGCTGATGAGGGCCGAATAATTAGGGATGAAAATATAATAATATCCCGCCTTCTCCAAGAACTGTCTCACCTCATCATTGGTCTTAGGTCTCAGAAAGGGTTGCAAATGCTGCAGTTTTGTCAATTTGGGGCGCACCTGCCTGTGTCCCAAGCGGAAGCCCAGATATCTGACCTCCACTTGCCCAATTGCACACTTCTTTGGGCTGGCAGTGAGCCCAGAGCGTCTCAGTGTTGTCAGGACGCCCTCAGATGTTACAAAAAAATTTCCTTGGACAGAGGCGTAAGTTGAATTTGCCAGTATTCCTTCATCAAATCCAATATCGATGAAAGCGAGCAGCACCTAGCTGATCAAGTAACTCATCAATGCACAGCATCAAATACGCATCAAATTTAGTCACAGCATTAACTTCACAAAAATCCACACAGAACCAGATGGAGCTGTCCGTCCATCGGTCTCTGCCAGTCACTGTGGGATTCTTCTACCACCCTCAAATCCAGCATCCTCAATTTTTCCTAAACCACTTTTTTTTGTGTGTGTTCAGGCAACTTGTATTGACGTGTTCTAACTACAACACCCGGTGTGGTCTCAATAAGGTGCTGAATCAGATTCGGTTCGTCCGGGCAGGGGTATGAACACATCTGCGAATTCCTGCTGGTGGCACCGGATGTTAGTGAGCTATCACTACCATCTAACTACCGTCGCCAGCATCACCACCTCTGGATCCTTCCACAGCTTTAATGAATTCAGATGGTAAATGTGGTGTGCCCCACCCCTGTCCATCTGCACCACTTCAAAATCAAGCTCCCTCACTCATTGAGTGATCACGAACAGTCTTTGCCACTTGGCAAGTGATTTTGGGCTGGATGATGGCAGCAATACAAGCACTTTATTTCCTGGTGCAAATTGTCTTAATTTAGTGCCCAGAACGTGGAGTTTTGTTCACAGATTCAGAATGTATTGGAGCTATTTTTTACTGTTAAAAGGCTCGTCCTTCCAAGCCTCTCTCATGACATCCAGCACCTCTCGGGGCTGTCTGCCGTAGGGAAGCTCAAAGGGGGAAAACCCCATGGAGGCTTGGGGAACCTCTCCCACCATGAACAATGAGGGCTCTAACCACTTATCCATTTTTTTTTACTTTCAAATTTGCCTAATAGTTAATAATAAAAGTGTTATGAATGACAGTGATTGACAGTTTTTGTGTGATCAATAATGTTAAACACAAAATACCATTCGGCAGATGATGGTGTTTCCTCTCTGAGGTCTGGTGGTTTACCTATTGACCCGTCACTCTTCAGAGACACAGAGCTGGACACACATGATCCTGATCTCACACTGAACACACAAACACACCAGAGGAGAAGGAGCGTCACAACCTCAAGGTGTTTTACAAGGTAGAAGATAAATCTTTTGTGAGTAAAGTTTAAGATCAAAATAGTGATCAAATCATTAATTAGACAGTTGTGAGGTATTATGATATGTTGAAAGAGGAAGGCAGGGTCAGCAATGCAGGTGAGTGCAAACATTTTATTTCTTTTTCTTTTTTTCAGCTCAAGCAGCACACACACCTGTTAGAACTGCTCTGACCATTGTACAGTATCTGGCTCTCCCTTTTTAGTGAGATTAGTTAACATGCTGATGAGGGCCGAATAATTAGGGATGAAACGCCCATAATATCCCGCCGGCTCCAACAACTGTCTAACCTCATTCTTGGGTCTCAGAAAGGGTTGCAAATGCTGCAGTTTTGTCAATTTGGGGCCGCACCTGCCTTTGTCCAAAGCGGAAGCCCAGATATCTGACCTCCACTTGCCCAATTGCACACTTCTTTGGGTTGGTCGTGAGCCCAGAGTGTCTCAGTGTTGTCAGGACGCCCTCAGATGCTGCAAATGCCGCTGTAAATAATTACTAAAATGATGATGCCATCGAGGTAGGCAGCAGCAAATGCAGAGTGTCAGGCAAGGATTTTGTCCATTGAACACAGAAACGTAGCCGGTGCTTCGAACAACCCGAATGTAAGCGTAACGCACTGGTGTAATCCGAAGGGTGTAGTAAAAATTATTTATTCCTTGGATAGAGGCGTAAGTTGAATTTGCCAGTATTCCTTCATCAGATCAAAATTAAGCTCCTCACTCATCGAGTGTCCATGAACGGACCTTGCCACTAGGCAATTTTTGAGCAAATTGTCCGACGAGAGCCGCCCCAGAGCGTGGAGTTTTGCCCGCAGGTCCAGAATGTTTCAGAGCTAATTTTTACTGTTAGAAGGCTCGTCCTTCCAAGCCTCTCTCATGAAATCCAGCACCCCAAGGGGCTGTCTGTCGTAGTGAAGCTCGACGGGGAAAAACCCTGTGGAGGCTTGGGAAACCTCTCCCAGCAGTGAGGTGAACAGTGAGGGCTCTAACCACTTATCCAAATTTTTGTACCTTCAAATCTGCCTAATAGTTAATCATAGAAGTGTTATGAATGACAGTGATTGACAGATTTGTGTGATCAATAATGTAAAGACTAAATACCTTTTGGCAGATGATGGTGTTTTCTCCCTGAGGTCTGGTAGATGATCTTTTGAGCTGATGTTTTGATGTAGCTTTAAGCGGTCATTCAATAGAAACACAGAGCTGGACACATTTGATCCTGATCTCACCCTGAAAACACAAACACACCAGAGAAATAAACTGCAGGAGACACTTCAGTCTACTTTACAGGAGATTATCAGACAAATATGAGTTTGTTCAGTTTAATTCAGCACAAACTAGTTGTCTGAAAGTCTGTCTGATCAGGTCTGCTTCACAGCAATCATGGGTAAACAGACGAGTGATGCGCTGCTTTTTTCATTCATTTATTTTCCTTTTGCTTAGTCTCTTCAGAGTTCGCCACAGCAGAATGAATCGCCAACTATTCCAACATGTTTTATGCAGCAGATGCCCTTCTAGCTGCAACCCAGTACTGGGAAACACCCACACACTCATTCACATACACTATGGCTAATTTAGGTCATCAAATTCCCCTATAGCGTGTGTGTTTAGACTGTGGGGGAAGCACCCGGAGGAAACCCATGCCAACACGAGGAGAGCGTGCAAACCCCACACAGAAAGGCCAACTGACCCAGCTGGGACTTGAACCAATGACCGTCTTGCTATGAGGCGACAGTGCTAACCACTGAGCCACCGTGTCACCCACGCTGCTTTTTCATTCTGCATAAGTTTAATTTAAAACCTTGTGATGTTGTGACCTGTTGAGAAAAAACTCATCACAGAAATCTGATGAGGAAATATAAAACACAAAACATTACTTTCTGTCTTTAGAAATACACGAAAGCATTTTATAATTCTCTTCATTGAACTATACACTGAGTTTAACATGCACATTTGTACTAAAGCACAAGCTGAAACTTGTTCTGCGCTCAGCTTTAACTCTGATGTTGTGCAAGACTTTAAACAGCACACATGATGACACATATTCAGCTCTGGTAAATATGACCCCAGATCGAGCTGTCTGTAATCTAGAATGATCTAAACACATTTGCTGAAGCTGTAAACTGAAGCTTTGTCCATCATTTGATCAGAGTCAATACCTGTGTTTCTCTGAGAGAGAGTCCTTTACTCGCTCCTCTGCCATACTGCAGCTAAAACACCAATGCAGACATTAGCAGAGCTTTCAGGAAACAATTATACACACACACACACACACACACACACACACACACATATATATAGTACTTAACATGAATGCAGTTGGTTTAACCCCTGATCTGACATCTCAGCTGTTTCACATTTGATTTAAGGTAAATGCATGTTATATAGAGTTTATCAAGAGAAGTTCAGGTTCAGCCAATTGTTGATTTAGTGAGTATTAAAATATCTCTCTACTAAAGAGGCTATTTGGTTATTGGGTTACTCTGACAGTAAAGGGTTAAATGCAGTGTTGTTTAAGGATCGTCAGCTTGTTGTTTTCAGCAGCTTTTCTTCCTGTTCAACCGGAAGGTCTGCTTTCACCTGCAGAGTGTAACATCTACTGACGAAGCATCCAAACTGGTGAACAAGCTGCAGACTCTACTTATGTCTGGGGGGGGGGTTGGGTCGAATTAAGGCAGTGGGCTTCTAACATCTCTTCTGTTGTTGCTCATCTTTCTACAAAAGCTAGATCTGAGAAAAATGAGCTTTGGCTTTCTGAAAAGCAGCAAGATGTTTCTGAGTCCACCATGGGTCTACATTAGCCGGATTTCCACTATCGGGCCAGTGCGAGCCAGGGCTTTAATAGGGCCGGGCCGGGCCAATCGCCCAGAAGGTTGAGAAATGAGGCTGAAATCATGTCGCGTTTCCACTGTCGGGCTAGTAGCTCACAGCGCGTCACGCAAACACCGCCCACTGAACGTCCCCGAATCAAATGTCACACAACCCGCCCACTTCAGCGTAATTGAGGACAGGCAGATAAAGCACACCATAGAATCATCACGAAATGAAACCATTAAAATGAAGATAACCGAAACAAACAAACGAAACGTTACTGTACAGCAGTACATAAAAATGTCTATACGCACAGACCTGTGTATTTCCATTCATTACATTTGTTTACTCGCCGACCGACTGTTGGCATTGTGCATGGAGTGCTCTCGCCACTAACGCAGGGACCCAACACAGAGAGCGCACACATCCATAATATAAAGCCACAGCAATTCTCCTTTATAACTCGATATGGCATGTATTTTATAACATCCTCGTTTTGATAGAAGTCGTGTTAAGTTTTCAGCACAAGAGCGAGTAGCCTAATAAAATATAGCCATATTTGTTGCGCTCGGCAGCTATTCACTAAAGCTCTTCATTTAAAGTTTAATTTATAAATTTAAACACGTCATATAAAAACATAAACAGTTGTTTGAGGATATAGAACACATTTTGTGTTTGGAATTTCCCGCGATGCATTTAAAGCACCGAGCGCTGCGCAGGACTGAGTGACAGAAAAAAAGGTATAGGCTAGATTCTGCTTTCACTCACCCAAATAATGCTCTGTTTGCGCGATTTGATTAATATCACCGTATCCAAATACTTTATAAATATTTACTTTATATAAATATTTCAAACCTTCTCCGGTGTTTAGTTTTTAGAAAATATCGAAAATCTTTTTTTTTTTTCAGACAGGTCTTTGTAAAATGAAAATTAGGCTATATGTGGCTTTAAAACGGTTTGATTTATGTATTGTATTTAGGCTACCTACATTGTTATAGCTAGCTTTTGTTTATTTTATATTGGTTTATTTATTTAATGTGATTTTATATATATATCCGATATTTGTAATTCTTTAAATTATATTTCAATATAGCTTAGGCTATTTTATCAAGATATGACACTATATTGTTTAAAGTCTACAAAAGTGGGCACGTAATTTGTTAAGTTTAATGTCTTTCTGATGTATTTATATTGTGTATTATGTCCAAAATAAATAAAGAAAAAAGCCGCTCGCGGCATAACAGAGCTGTGAAGGAGCGCTTTTGCCCGGTCTCACACACACATACAGGCATCTAAACGCGCACAAACAAACATTTTAAACTTGACAAAAACTCTCGAAAACCTTTACTGTCTGCTGTGTCTTTAATATGGTGTAAAGATTATTATGCACTATTGAAACATAAAGGAGGACGCAGCAAAAAACTTCACTGTAAAATAAAACTACTTTATTATTGTATGCAGCAGCCTTACATTTAAAAGGGAAACATAAGGGTGATCATATGCAAAAAGACCCCAGACTATAAGGCTAGATGTTTTCTTTCCCTTATTTATTTATTTGTTTGGCTCATGTACTCATGTGCGATCAGAATATTGCCCGCCTCTCCTTTCACTCCGCCCTGAAACCCCAGCTGGCCCTCCTTGGTCCATGGTATTAGGCGGGCCGAAAAAGGCTGGCCGCTGGCCCCAAGAAAGCCCCGCTTTGGCCCGATTAGGCCCCGGAAGTAACAGTGGAAACCCCACTGGCCTTGGCCCGCCCTGGCTCGCTCACTTTAGGCGCGATAGTGGAAACGCGGCTATTGGCTCTGCCGAACAGACACATTTGGTTACAAAACTCATCTGAGGGAGCCTCAAACACTCACAATCAGGTACGCCTACCATGTCTAGCCAGTCAGTATGACCCACCAGAGTACATAATCCCCTACACAACACTAGCTAAAGCATTGGTTCAAAGGTTATGGGATAAAAAAACATGGCTGGGATGACCCATTGCTGCCAATTGAACTTGTGCAAGCCTGGCAAGAATGGGAGAAGGAACGGCAGCACCTGAACAACATTGCCATACCACAGTGCTACACCAGCACACAGCTAGATTCTGAGTCCTGCTTAGGAGACATCCACATATTCTGTGATGCTTCAAGTCATGCATATGGTTCAGCAGCATATTTGAGAACACGGAGTCTTCAAGGCCAAGCTGAGGTTGCATTTGTTACAGCCAGATCACGAGTGTTCCCAAAACAACAGCTATCTGTACCCAGGCTGGAACTTTGTGCAGCACTTAGTGGAGCTCAACTAGCAAAAGTTCTAGAAAGGGAACTGACACTGAACATTCAGAAGGTTCATTTATGGAGTGACTAAAAGACAGTCTTGTCCTGGATCCAGTCCGATTCCTGCAGATATAAAGTGTTTGTGGGTACACGAATCGCAGAGATTCAGGAGCTGACTGAAAACAATCCAGCAGACGACATAACCCACGGCAAAACTCTTCAGCAGCTCTCAGTTCCCAGCCAGTGGCAGCAGGGACCTCCATTTCTGTGCCAAGACTCAAGCACCTGGTCTTAAGATACAAGGAAATCAGTCTTAGACATTACTGATGAGGAATGAAGGGTAACCTTTTGTAGCCTGACCACGATAGACTACTCTGATATAATGCAAGAATTCTCGCAGTACCACAGCTTTGATCAGTTGGTGGAACATAAAGCACAAGAGCAGTTAAAGCAAACTAATAAACACGAGAAGTATGTGCCCAAGACCATGCAGCTGCTGAGTACTGAGTCCTGAAGCAGGCACAAGCCATGTGCTTTCCAGCTGAACTTAATGCATTAAAGGGTAACAAACCCTTACTTTCCAACAGTAGATTATTAGCCCTAGCTCCTGAGCTTGACCAGTCTCCTGGACTTATAAGAGTCGGTGGTCGCCTGAGGCATAGTGAACTGCTTAAGCCAGATACCGTATACACAATTGTACTTGAACCCAAACGCCCACTCAGTCAACTCCTGATTCAGCATTATGATGAAAAACTCCATCATCCAGGCCCAGAAAGAGTGTTTGCGGAGTTACGCAGAAAATACTGGACTGATCAGAAAGAAATCAACTGTTGAATCGACTGAAGAAAGATGGATCCTGTTAAACTGGAGAGTGAAGATGTGAAGATTGAAGAAGAGCTACTTACAGTGAGAAAAGAAGAGTCTGAGGAACAGACAGGTCGGTTTATTTAAGCTCAGTTCATCTGTGTGTTCACTAAACATCTTCAGCTAAAAGTAGCTAAAACTGCTTTTATATTCGCACATTTAGACTTTCTTTTTAATAATATCACTTCAGAAAATGATTCTGTGCTAATTCTGACTAGTGAAATCATATACTGAGTTAAAGTTGTTTTTTATAATTGTTTGTTTTGGTACTGTGACAACTAATGA